TGTAATTGATAACTGTTTCGAAAACATACAAAGTATCTAATCCTTCTTTTACTAAATAGTCCATATTTTAGGGACCAGACATCAAATTGCCTTTCATTCTTTTCAGTATTTCTTTCTTTCTTTAAGATTTATTTATTTATTTGTTTGTTTGTTTATACATACAAGCACTGGGTACAGTCAGAAGCGCGGGAGGGTGAGAGGATTCACCAGAGCCAGAGCGGGGAGCAGAGCAGGCAGAAGGACCGAAGTACACTGCTGAGGGGAGCAGCGGGCGGCAGGAGAGGTCTGCGCGCCATGCGGGACCCTCCTCCGGTGGCCGGGGAGCAGCCGGGGATCGAACCGGTGCCACATAGGCTGCGGGCAGCTTCGCAACCCAGCGCTCAACTGCTGCGCCACCGGGGAGGCCCTCAGTATTTCTTTAAATGAGCAAGTTTCTAGTCACTTTTTAAAATATCTTAAAATTGACCTAAATTAAATGCAAAAACTAAAATATGACTCAAAGTATTCAGTGTATAAGACTATTATTTTTAGTACAGATGGGTAGGAAGTAAATACATGAATATATCAATACAGATGGATGGATATTAGATTAATAACTTCCAAAAATATGTTTGCTCAAGCTGTAGAAGACGAAATAGGAAGGACAGCGGCCACAATATCCAGAGGGAGAACTGGGGGACTCTGCTCTCTATCAAGTCTCATTTCATGAACCTCTGGATAAGTGGAACTTGCCTCTTGCTTACTTGAGAAAAAGGTATGAAGTGAGGCTGGAGGGGTCAAGAGAACAGAGCTGGCACTGACACCAGTAATGTCAATGGAACCTTTCAGTGTGCGCCTCTGGAAACTGCCAGATCAGGACTCGGAACCGTATCTCCCACGGGTGAACACAGGCACAGAGTTGGGGGAAATGCTCATGCCTAGCCCAGGGGCCAGGTCCTCATCAGAGCAGGACTGCCACGTTCTGTGGGTAAATAGACATGCATTTGATTTTAAGTCAACTTATAGTTGTTCTTGGGTAAATTAATCTCTAACTCTCAGGTTAGCAACTATTAAAGAGAATTCTGTTTCAGAAGGCTGCGGGGGGGAGGGTGGGGGAGGGAGGGGCTGTAAGAAATGCACAGGCAGTGTCCTGCAGGTGTTTACATCACACTCCCTTGACAACACATAGTGGAGAGAAAGGCCGAGTCAAGGCAGCTCCATGTGGAGCTAGGACGAAAGGGAGGAAGAACGTGAGTAGCTGCAGATATCATAGGCAGGCGAGAGGCAGAGATGGGGTGAGGGCACCCAGAACTTGCCTCAGCGCAGGACTGCCTGCCACGCTGCCCGGCCTCGGGGGGGGGGCCTGGAGGAGACTGGCCTGGAAGCAGCCTGGGGGTCTGCACCTGCCCGCCAGGCCTGAGGCCGGCTCTGAGTTCTGTTCTCCTGGATGGCACGGTGGCCTTCTGTTGGCTGTTGCTTGTTTGTTTTTAAGCTTCGGTGGACACACGCTGGCGCAGTACCAGGTTGCAGGCGCGCGTCAGCACAGAGCAGCGCCGGGATGGCCCGGCGAGTGTTTCCACCCTTCATCGGTGAGCAACTCTTCGCCTGGTGGGCGCCCCCCTCGCCCCGTCCCCGTCCCTCTGGCACCACGAGTTTGATCTCACAGTCTCCAAGACCGTTTCTGTTCTCTTTAGCTCGTTCTTTGTCTTGCTTCCTCCTGCGCGCGAGCAGCGTGTCCAGGTGGTCCCGCCGCGGCCCGGACCCGCAGCTCCCTCAGAAGGCAGGCCGGGGAGATGCCAGTGCCCACCCACACCCCGCCCCTCGGCGAGTGCGGGGTGCTCTTAGCTTTCCACTTCTTTCTGCGATGAGACGAAATGCCCACAGCCACCCCACGGCCCCCACGGAGCTCCCGGTCTGGGTGACCAGCGCAGGCCGGCCTTGGCCCAGCTCTGGGCTGGACGCACTTGCTTAAGGAAACACCGTGTCAGTTGTTCTTTCGTTCTTTTTGTTTCTCTTCACTGTCTCACATTAAACCATATTTGAAACTTACATTTGGAGCCAGAATTTTAAAGGGCATCAGGGAGGTTTTCCATTCGTATGATTCTGCTGTACGGCTGGGAGTCATTTTCCAAATGCGAATCAGAAGATAAATAATCCTGATCGCCATCCCCCACGGATTCTGACTCTCCACACGAGACTCCAAGACCATATTGTGAGACAGAGTTTGAACTGGTGCTTCATCTGCGGGCTGCCACTCGGTCACGCCGAGGCCGACGGCGGGCCCTCGGCCGCACGGGCATTCTGCTGTGCTGGGTGCTCTCAGCGGCGGGGAGTGCATGTCTGGGGAGCACCCGACAGCACTTCCACATCTTGCTCCATTGCCGATCGCCAGTAGCTTATTATGGGACACGAGGGGCTGAGTCATGTCTCGTGTGGGTGAAGTAACAGGTGACCTGAGAGGACCCGGTACAATAAATGCCAGGCCAGACGGGAAGAGGGAAAGAAAGCGCTTCAGGGGAATGGCAGCTCACGGGACTCTGGCAACCCCAGGTTCCCCAAGGCAGTGATCATCCCAGGGCAATCTCGGGCCAGCACCAGCAGCATTTCCTGGCATCTGGTCAGAAATGCAGAGTCTCAGGTCTCACCCTGCATTTTCACCAAGGCCCCTGGTAGGCTGGGCAGATAATGAAGTTGGAGGAGCAACGGTGAGATCGCCCCGAGTTGGAAACTTTTGTAGTGGCCTTGCCTTGCTTAGGACGCGCATGAAGAGTGACACCCTGCAATGCTCTTGGGCTCAGCAAGCACTCGGAGCGGGCCTGGTCACAAGGGTGATGTGGCCTGACCATCCTCATGACCCTGTCAGGACCTCTAATAAACTCCTACGAGCAAGGTGCTTGGGTGTTTTATGGAGGACACACATTCTCTACAAAATGTTAATTTTTGTGACCAGGAGACAGAGAGGTTACCCTTAACATTGGAATAACGAGCGTGGCTGGTAGGCGGGCGGCCGAAGGATGGTTCTGACTGCTGCCCAGCCCGTCTCTTCTAGATCACAAACCAATGAGGTCCTCAACAATGAAAGAGGGAGAAGGAAACAAGGCTGGGATTTAACTACCCGCTGGCTGATTTTTATCAGTAGCATGTATTTTCTTGTTTACCAATCAACCCAACTGACTCGGAAACTAAAGGAAGAATAAGGGCGCTCGTCATGCTATGCTGAAAAACAATTTCCAAGAAGTTAAAAACATGATCTCATACAAATATGAAATGAACAACTGGCCAAAGATTTCCTTGCACGCATTAGTCCACGAGGGAAGTGGCAGGAGAGAATCTGAGGAACGAGGCATTTATAGTGTCTAAAGGAGAAGACTACCACATCAGAAACGAAACGCATGTTCTACAGGGCCATAAACGACCTTGAAGGGGGTGACCTTCGAACTCGCCGAGACTGTACAACCTCTGCTCCTACGAGCTGTGCATAGCCCAGTCAAAAGGGCAAGCCTGGCTGCGCGTTGGCACAACACCCAGAAGCCCCTTCTGTGTACCCCAAGTCCGGAGTCATTTTCCTGACACTCGGAGGAGGGCCTAAGCCCAGCACCCACCACACATGCGGAGCCCCAGCCCGGTCTGGGGCACGGGATTCAGCAAGGCGCGGGGCGGCACCGCTCCCGCTACCTGGCAGACTTGTGATTGGCCAGCAAAGTCAGGAGAAGACTTTCAAATATAGAAAGCACACGATGTCAGGTGAAGATTCTGCGGAGGAAAGGGGCTAGAACACAAACGCAAGGCGTTAGTGGGAATGTAAAACCTCAGGCTAATCAACACAAGCCTTACTGTTTCCATCGCCTTTTAACTTGAAAAATCACCGTGAGACACACGACGTGAAATCAGCTCCCAGCCTCGGTGCACAGCAGAGTGTGCCGAGTGTGCGGCGGCACGGAGCCCTCCCGCCTCCACCGCGCCCGCGCCGTCTGTGTAAAACCTGAGCCCACGCGGCCCACGTGGGTGGGATCACAGTGTTGACACAAACGTCGCTTGCATTTTAACACACGGGTGGTAGGTAGGTAGATGTCATTGAATAGTCAAAAAATATTTAATTTTAAAGTGTTCATGTCAGAAAATCAAACGTTTAGTCACCTCTCGAAGCTTGTGCGTGAGAGTTCTGCACACCGAGTGAGAAGGGGTGCAGGGACCCGTGATTCTCCGCTTTCCTGAGGGATGCGGGGGTAGAGGGAAGCCCGCAGCCCCCGCAGAGCTGCTGTTTGGCACCTAGAGATGAAGTGACCTGAGTTCACAGACCTGGCAGGCTGCAGGCGACGGTGTGGCGGGCCTGGCGGCCAGAGGGGTCTGCACGCTCGTGCACTTCTTCCAACTTTACACGCGCTACTGGCCAGGGGCAGCTGAGAACTTCGGCCTTCAGTCCGTCTCCCTTCGGAGACTCCACCACGTGGACGGAGTGGGCGCGCCCAGCAGGCTCCAAATCCCAAGGAGATGAGCGGACCGGGCGTCTCCGAGTCAGGGGACCTGTGGCTCCGGCAGCCCCGCGACCGCCTCAGCAAGAGGCTCCCCAGGCTGAGTCAGGTTTGACATGATGGAGGGAAAAGGAAGCAGGAGCCCCCGTGGTTCAAGGGGGAGGAAAGGGTGTGACCCCAAGCTTCCCGGGGAACTGCCTTAGCCAAAGATGGGGGGGGGGGATTTGGGAGGTGGTGGAGGGGAGACCCTGAAGCCAAAGGGAAGACTTTACGAAGCCTCTAGCTTGTGAAATTGCCAGATGTGGGCTGGAAGCAACCACAGCTCTAAACAAAGAAGTGAAAAACAGACGAACTGTTCTGATGGTGACCTTTGAAAGGCTCTCAATAAAACCCTACAATTTTCTGCAAAAAATAAATCAATAAACGCACTGTTCACACATAATCTCATGAGAATACCTTGTATAGTCAGGAATTATTGCTAATGAAAAATACCCTGTATCGCTGCTTTAAGCTAGATTTTTAGACAATAAATTTAAAAAGAAAAACCTATATTTGGAAATATTGCTAGCATTTTATGATTAATTGTATTGCACTACAAATAAATGGTGCAGTAACGTGACCGTACAGTGATAGAAGAGAATGCAGAAGTCATTTAATTAGAAAAATATGACAGAATAAATTAAGGCAGAGTGAAGTAAATTGTCCCCAAATGGCCTTCAGGAAATTCTGAACCATATTTGAAATGTTACAGACATGAATTATGTGACAACCCATAAATATTTCTTAATCTTTTAAAAAGGGAACTTTTAAGAAACTTCAAAATAAATGAATGGAATCCAATAATTTAAAACTCAAGTGCTGTTATTTCTACGTCTTGGATTATATGTTCATTTGTTCGCTGGAAGAAAAATCACATTTTCATTTCTTATATTTTATTTATATTAGTGAGAACACTTCAATATTAATTCAAATATCTATCCATTAAATGCAAAAATGTTAATGCAATATTAAAAATGAAATCTAAATGAAAGCAAGGGACCAGCACATTAAGGTTCCCATGGCAACTCTCATTACACTTTCCCACTTCTGAATTGTAATATGGTCATTTATTACAGGCTCATATAAGACAGAATGTTGCAGATATTTAAAGATGTGCAGGCTAATTCATGTCAATTCAATCCTTGGATGCAACGCCATAGCTCAGACTAACAATATCCTCAATTGTCTCCCATCAGTCTGGCCCACAAAAGGCGACGCAAACTCCCAGGTCCTGAAGGACCCGTCCTGCTTGCAGATTGTCCTACTGCGTCCCCTGTCACGGCTGGACCTGAACCTCACGTCGCTGGTTGCTAACGTCGGTATGAACAAACGCCTCTCTCTACAGTTTAGCAAGAGTTTGAAATTACAGATTACAAATTTTGCCACGTGTAAATTCACTAGTCCACACAAGTGGAAAGTCCAGGAGCTGTGTTACGGCGATGAAACAGTGCCCACGTCACCCCTGGCTCTGCCTTTCCTGCGGCCTGCAGCAGCTCTGACGCTCGCAAACTCAGGAGGCAAACACCTACCAGCAACCTCTCCCCATTTATCCCAAGGGACCAAATGGACTACTATAAAACTACATGTGTAAGGGGTGGTTCAAGCAAAATAGGGTGTCCAGACCCTTGGAGATGGCTGGGTTGGGACACGGTGTGGAAACGTGTCCAGAGCACACCACAAGGTAAGCGAAGGTGGTATAGAAGTGTGTGCAGCAAGTGAAAAACCCAACGCCATGTCAGAAACCATGGACCGTGTATGTATGGGAAACAGCTGAGACAGATGCCTCCATGTGCTAATGGTAGATCTCTGCATGATGGAATTATGGCTAACTCTGTATTTCACCTTTCTGAGGTTTTTTCAAATGAATATATTAAGACACAGAATTAGAAAGTAAAATATAAGCTGTAAATAAAGCAAGCACTACCTGTTAGGGGTGTGAGGATGGCTATTCTGCTTCACTGAGAACAGGAGTGAAGTTGGTACAAAGTTTCTTTTGGTAACATGAAAAAGTTGCAGCAAAGCTACCTCTGTAATTCTTTTTAAAGAATCATGGAAAATGGCAACCAAGTACATATTCAAGGATTTGCTAAATAAGTAAAAGTTCATAAGAGATACCATGTAGCCACGGAGTAGGAACTGCTGTGAACACGCTCTGATAACAGACCACCTGCTATGAGCCGTCTTGCTCTGTCCTGAGTTTATTCTATTTTTCTAATTCAAATTCTGTGTTACTGTTTTCTAAAATTTAAATATTTGACTTGTTATTCAGAAACTTAATTTTTTTCCCAAATGTGGAGCCTTTCTAGTTCTCCTCTGCCACTGACTTGTGGCGATTACATGACGATCGGGAAAAATGGCCAAACGCTGACTCTTTGCAGTCTGATGCTTGCCCACGGTGGACGATCACCTGTCGTAAACTTTCCTTTTGGGGTTACCTATGTTAATCAGATCAAGCTTAATTTTGTATTCAGATTCTGTCAACTGAAACTGCTTGACAGCTCAGATAAATGAAGGCCCCATGATGGTGACCTTGTCAAGTTCTCGGTGTAGCTCTCTAAGATTCTGCTTTGTGTTTCTGATCTTACTGGAGAAACAGAAGTAATTAATGAAGCCTTCTATTACTGTGTGCTCTTCACGGAAACGGAAATGCTGGGCCTCCCGGATGGTGCGGGGGTTAAAGTCGCACTGCTACCGAGCTATTGCCAGCCACTGCAGCCTGAGGATCCCGGGCCAGGGAGCTACCCACACGGCAAGGCAGACCTCTCCTGTCTCCCTGCTGCTCCCCTCAGCAGTGTGTTTCAGTCAGTCTGCCTGTTCTGTTCCCCACTGTCTCTGGTGACTCCTCTCACCCCTGCGCCTCTGGTCTACACCCCAATTCTTCTATGCAAAAATAAAATCTTAAAAAGTATTTTTAAAATCCCCCATTTTATTTTACAGGAAAATGGAATATGCTGAGATTTACAGCTGCTCACTCCCATTATTCTTTTAGTTCTACACAGCACCCCTAGGAGCTGCCGTTCGTGTGACTTAGAACGCCTCCCCCTGGATGGCAGTTTCTTTTTACAAGTATTAGGATTTCTCTAGTGTTCAAGAAGTCCCACTGGTGTAACTTTTAGTTTGAAAGAATTTTTTATTAACCAGAATTCTTAATTCCTTCCAACATGTCAGATAACAAATCTTTTTAAGATAACTAAGTCTTTGGTCTGACACATTAATATATAATTGATAATTTAAGTTAATATAAAAGTTCATTATTTTTTAATCATGTTCCTGAAGAATAAGTTATAAATCTGTGAGTAACAGTCCATTAAATTAACATTTCATTTATATAAAAGAGAAAGGGAAAAATTCCATCACATTGAAGGCTAGAATTCTGCTAGGTGTTGCTGGGTTTTTCATAATATACATGTAACACACACACATACATACACACATACACAGCAAGACTACAGTTTGATAGGAAAGGCAACTAAACCGTTAGGTCTTAACAGCTGAAAGGAGAAAGTGATCAAGATTGGAGCAAGAGATTCTCAACAACATTGTTCACACAGTATTGGGGTGAAGAGCATATTCCCAACCCCCAACATGATTCATAATACCTATGTATAACGTATGTAACAAGACACGCAAAAATATGAATTGCGAAAGGATGAAGCATTGGTAATACATGTATTCTTAAGAACGTTTCCAGCATATTAACAGCAAAACAACCTTCATTGAGGGCAGATGTGATGGGCATGATGGTGATGTGTCTGGCTTGACTTCTCCTGGTTGCCCATTGGACTGCGACCATTTTTCATGTCACAAGAGGCTGTCAATCTGAGGACTTTTGTCTATTCACATCCGGGCTCCCCCTCATCCTGCAACAAAAGTAATTCCTGGACAAGGATTTCTCACTTGCTAGGGAGACGATTCCAGGTGGTCTCCTGAGAGGGAAGGATGGAGGCACAGGAGCCTGTCAGTAGACGGCTTCTGTGAGCAACTGAGAGTCAATTCTATAGGGGCCACTCTGAGAATGTGCTCTCAACAGGGGTGACCCTCGAGGGTCAAGGATGGCCCAGCCTGGCCACCGCAGCCCTGCAAGGAATGGCCTCCAGATGCATCTCCAGAAGTCCGAGTTTCGTAAACTGCCGGGGAGCTAAACTAGGTCCAGGGTAGTTGGGCGGGGCAGACAGCCGTTCTTTGCCTGCTATATTACGTCCATCTTGGTCTTGCAGGATTCGTTTTAAGCCCTTAAAAAGAACCTTTGTCAAGTAAATGGATTTGGTCATAACTAAACACGAGAAAAGCACTGCCCACGCCTGTCAAAGTTTCCCACAGGACACCTCGAATATGTCTGTGACACACAACAGGCTGAGGGAGTGCACCAGGGTCAATCTGAACATCAAACATTCATATATTTCCTTTTAGAGTAAATGTATACATGGAAGTTCCTAAAATGTTATTCCTCCTCCACATTAGTTACCTTGTGGGCCGGGAGGAGCCTGTTCCCGCCCTGGCCACCCTGGACCGGAGCAGAGCACGCGCTCCACTCTCAGTGGGAGCAGCTTATTTCAGGATCTAGTTGGACTATACCTAATAGTAAGAAAATACCAGCATTGTGCAGTTCTAATAATTTTAGCCTTTGCCTACGACTAAATGAGATGAAGATTTCACTCTTCATAGAACTCCTTGAATGGGTATCTTATTTCCCTATTTTTAAGTCACACAGAAACCCAGCCACAATGGAACGCCATCTTGGCAATCAATGTAACTCAAGCTGCAGTGTTCTGATTCTCCAGTGGTGGGGTGAAAGGCAGATGGTGGCAGGCCTGTGCTTTCGGCCTGTTTGCAGAATCTCGAGTTGGAAACATTTTCCAGGCACAGCTTCCTAAAGAAGTTACATGTGAGAGGTTTGAAGCGCTATACTTCAACTGAAGTCCAGAAATGTGACAAAGTTATAGAAGTCCTTTTTTTTAGGCTGAAATGTATATACATTTATTTAGTTTAGTGGGTTTTTTTTTTTTTTAAGATTGATTTATTTATTTTATACAAGCACTGGGTACAGTCAGAAGCGCGGGAGGGTGAGAGAATTCACCAGAGCCAGAGCAGGGAACAGAACAGGCAGACCAACAAAATACACCACTGAGGAGAGCAGCAGGCGTGGCGGGAGAGGTCTGTGTGCCATGTGGGACCCCTGCCGGCGGCCGGGAATCAAACCGGCACTGCAGAGGCTGCGGGCAGCCCCGCAGCCCAGTGGCGCCACCGGGGAGGCGCTAAGTTTAGTGGGTTTTTTAAAAAGATTTATTTACTTATGCATACAAGAACTGGGGTGTAAGCCAGAGGTACAGGACGTAAGAGGATTCACCAGAGAGAGTGGGGAGCAGAACAGGCAGATCCACTGAAATCCACTGCTGAGGGAGCAGTGGGTGAGCAGGAGAGGTCTGCTGCGCCATGTGGGTCAGCTGCCGGGGATTGAACTTGTGCTTCAGTGGCTGGCAACAGCTTGATAGCACTGTTTTTAACCCCTGCACCACCAAGGAGGCCCTATTTATTTAGTTTTCAAGCAAGCTTAATACAGTTTAATTGTATCATTGTGATTAATCTTCAATGCCCAAGGAATAGAACAGTCTGAGGTTTATTGCACTAGTTTAAGAAATCCATTCTATGTGGAAACATCATTTTGTTAAATTCCCTTGAGTTTAAAACCTTAGGACTGAGTCACCTTAGCCTATTAAAGACTTTATTAACCTTCATAATATCCTGCAAAAAGACTACTCTATGATACATATCAATGAAACTCAACCCCACTTTCTCCAATAATAAAAAAATGCTTTTTAAATGTGTTACTTCTTAAGTGATGTGAAACCAAAGAAAACTGTGTGCTGCTTTTGGAGTCCTCTTGTTTGGAGAAAAATATTCTCTGCTTCACGGAGTCTTGCCACGCCCTACAGAGATAGGGTCTGTAGCCCGAGGGCCTGTCCCCGGGGTGCATGCAGGCCGAGGAAGGCCCTTCTGCGGAGGCTGGGGCTTTCTGCATGATGCTCTGTGTGGTCGCGAGCAGAAGCAGGCGATACTCCTTCACGAGCTTCTGTAAGAACTGGGAACACTGGGTGAGAGCGGACTCCTGCGCGCGCAGGCTTTCTCCCCCGTTAACGCGGTCCACCCAGTAGAAGGCGGACAGGCTGTCCACCATCAGCAGGCAGAGGGCTGGGTGGCTGCAGAACACGGCCTCCAGCGAGTGGAGCGTGAGGAGGACCTGCGTGCTGCTGTTGCAGTGCGCCACGAACAGTCTGGCCAGGCAGCACTTCACGATCTCCTCGGAGCCCTGGGAAAGCCGGTGCTCCAGGATGGTGACCAGGCGGAGCATGTCGAAGTGGCAGTCGGTATCAATAAAGAGGACCTCTGCTTCCAGGCCGCCCTCCGACTTTGGAAGTATACACCGCGCTGTTAAATGATAGAGCATTTCTGTCTTGCCTGTTCCTTCTGGACCATGAAATTCAAGAATATCACCTGTGTAAAATTTAAAAATGTCAGTCAACATGCAGCCGGCCATGAAAAGACTGAAAACATGTTCAAAGAGACATTTGCTGGAATGTGAAAGAAAATCTAAATTCAGTTGCCAAAACGAATCTGTACAAGCAAATACAAACAAGTGAGGAAATTAAAAGCAAATCATTAAATTGCACTTCTGACAAAGGAGCTGACTAATAATTAGCAGCAAGAAAGCTCGACAAACAGGGCAGGCTGAAGGAGTCTGAAGGGGTCGCCTGGGTGTGGGGTGCGCACTCCTGTCTGCACCGCTGACATCAGAGCTAGGAATAAAGCGCCTCAGGCCCAGGGCCTTGCAAGACTCAGGTATTTCTGGAGTTGACTGCTCAAAATCTAGCCTCTCCATTTTCCTTACGTACAGACCCCAACTTGGGTGGGAAGGCAACGTGCCCAGCTTAAAGCTGTTTTCCTCATTCTCAAGATTAATATCCCCAAGTTTTCATAGTTGCAGCCAATGAGACACAGAGGGAGAGTGTGTGTGTGTGTGGGGGGGGTGTCACTAAGTTTTGCTTTCCAGGTACAGGTGTTACTCTGCTCTGCTGCCTCCTGGAGGGCGCAGCCATCTTGGCGCACAAAGCAGGAGGTGCCCAGAGTTTTGGGGACAGTGGGGAAGCAGACCCACTGTGCCTCTCTCTACCCGTCGTGATGGGAGAAGCAGCCTCTGCATGGTCAGCCACTGGGCTGTGTCCTCTGACACGCGGCTAAGAATGGGCCTGAGGAGGTTTCCCAATGTCGCTGGCACTATGGGGCAACATTCCCTGACTGTGCAGTTGCAAACATCCCAGGACATCAAGCCGCACAGACCCCAAGGGCCTACCTGCCAACAGCACCCCTCAACTGTACCCCCAATACACTTCCCAATTGCCCTCGGCCACTCTTGGAAACTTATCCCGCCTGGAACAACATCTGCACTAGAAATTATTTTGCAGGCATCGTACATCAATTACTCCTAACTTAAAAGGCCCTAAATCTTTCTGTAGACCTTCCGGTAATACTCTTTCACTGACAATAGCACACGCCAGATAAGACAGCACAAGGGATGCTGTCCCACCTGCAGGGCGTGTCCAACTCTAGACACTGGCCTCCCAGTTCTCGCAGGTCTGTTTGCACTGTTCATGCACTATCGATAGCTGAGCCACCTGATTTACAAACACCATGTTGAAAATGTAGATTCTTAGAGGTAAAAATTACATATTCTGAGAATCCAGTTACTTTTAGTAAGAAATCTAGCAAGTTGCTGCCATCCCATGTAACAAGGTGCTATAAAACTTCAGTCCAGGGCCTCCCTGGTGGCTCAAGGGGTTAAGCATAGCACTATGAAGCTCACTGCAGCTACTGCAGCCGAGTTTGATCCCCGGCCAGGGAGCTACCACATGGCGCAGCAGACCTCTCCTGTCTCCCTGCTGCTCCCCTCAGCAGTGGATTTCAATCAGTCTGCCTGTTCTGCTCTCCACTCTGTCTCTGGTGAGTCCTCTTACTCCTGCACCTCTGGCCTGTACCCCGGTTCTTGTGACATGATTATTACAATAATCGGAAATACCTGTAGAAATCGAAATGCACAAGTAGGGAGTTTTATGTCACATAATTCATTTAAATGCCCTAAGAACACCGGATGTTAATCTGCATCTCTAAGTGTCGCAAAACAGAAGTCCTGTCGCTGCGAGGACTGAACCTTCAGGATGGTGACAAGAGCAGGAGGTGTGCTACCCAGAAGCGGAGAACAAAGGCCAGCACCCCCACTCCTGGGCGCACCCACAGTGAGAGATGTCAGCTACAACAGGAGGAACACAGAGAAGACTTCAAGAAAACAAAACAGTACTAAATCAGATTAAATGCAGCCAGAGTAGCTTCAAGAATGAAAAACTGGCAGGGGGAGAGGAGGGAGCAGATGCTGGGTGACCAATATACATCTCTGACAGCACACAGGCTTGGGAAGTCTGTAAGCCTGTTACTAATTCAACTTGAGCTTCCTAACAACAATTTCTGACAAACTACTATTGTTGATAAATAATCCTTATAAACCCAGCACTGGGCCTCCCTGGTGGTGCGAGGGGTTAAGATGCAGCACTATGAAGCTGTCCACAGCCACCGCAGCACAAGTTTGATCCCCAGCCAGGGAGCTATCTACAGGGCGCAGCAGACCTCTTCTGTCTCCCCGCTGCTCCCCTCAGCAGTGGATTTCAGTGGATCCGCCCGTTCTGCTCCCCACTCTGTATCAGGTGAATCCTCTCACCCCCCCACACCTCTGGAGTGCACCCCAGTTCTTGTATGCATAAACAATCTTTAAAAAAATAAATAATAAAGACAGTACTATATCTGCTGTTGCTCCACCGGGTATGCATCTGACCATTTCACAGCTATAGGATCTGCAACAGTTTTAAGTAAACATTTTTATTAGTGAGTGAACATAATGGTGTTTTTAAGTTTTTATCAATGCACTTGAACTTGTGGCAGTAAATATGCAGCTGTCAAAAAAGCACATGCAGTATCACCAATGAACCAAATGGCAAAAACAGACTCAGAGGCAGCAGGAGAGGGCACCACGGGGACCAATTCACCGCTTGCAGAGAAGAGCAGGGCAGAGACAGGCGCAGGAGTCCAGGAAATTGAGGACGAGAAAACGGGCATGCAGTCCACCTGCTCTGGAAATCACTAGCAGTCTCCCAAGGCTGGAGAGTCAAATGAAGGTAATTTGAGGTAACAACAGAAACGCAACATATTCTGGTAAGAGAGCAGGGACGCCACAGGAGACAGAAATCTGTGGTGCAGGTCAGAGGGCACCGTGACAGCTCTCTGGGTATTCTGGAATTCTCAGAATAGGAAACAAATTCAAACTTCCCTGTGTTTCTCGGCGGGGGTGCTGGTGCTCCTAAACACCCCTCCACCCCTCGGTGGGACTCAGGGGCGAGCGCTTTCTGCATGGCTTCAAAGGCTTTTCGGAGCCACACAGTTACTAAGCCCCGATGCAGCACGTGAAGTCTTTCGGTTCTTGGTTAGTGGCCAATGATTCTGGGCAGCTTAAGGTCAAATCCTTGGTTAAGAGATTTTAAGTAGATTAAACATACATCTCTTTACAGGTCAACAGCAAAACAGGTACAAAGATCAGTTATAAAACAACTGGTGAATAAATTCTGCAAATCTGCAGATTACACACAAATGTTACAAGGAAGATTCTTGAACTAGATTCCCCACGAATATGTGTAGTAATGAAATCAGTTTCACCGATTTTATGAAGATTTACTGTATAATCATAAGATCAAAAATCATATTCAAACACTGTTCTATAAAGGGGACATAATCCTTTTAACTTTATTCGAAGTCACTCTAAGCTCATGTTTCTATGAACTGTTAAATTATAAGCTTGTCGAATAAAATTATTGAGTACGACAACATATATATGTATATATGTGTGTACACACACACACACACACACACACACACAAAACAGCCTCTATAGTTTTGGCACTTGACAAGTTAAACTCAATCAGAAAATCTGGATAGATTGGCCTTGATAGTTTCTCTCACAAATAGAATGCTGTAAGGGGTTTGGTAACAGATTGTTGGAGTGAGTTTACAAATCTAAGGATCTTTCAAAATAAGGAAAAGAAAGAAAAGCCAAAAAATACATCATCTTGGTACCAATTTACTAATTGTATGACAAACAGGTTGAATTTTCAGATTACAGTTATAGTGCTGAAGTGGTAACGAACCGGTACACGGCACTAAAATTACTATGCAAAAAGCAATTTACATCCACAGCAAGACACAGACTCCTGAAACCTGTAAACCCTTTACTAATTCAGCATGAGCTTCCTAATAACAACTGTTGATAAACTACTATTATTGATAAAAAATCCTCACAATCCCTGTATTGTATCTACTATTGCTCCACTGAGTATGCACCTGACCATTTTCACAGCTATAGGATCTCTGATAGTTTTAAGTAAACATTTTTATTAGTGTCTGAATATGCTGTTTTTAAGGTTTTTATAAATGTAATTTTCAAATATAGACCATGTACCACAAACCCAAGTTTTTAATACCAGTTTCATTCCACACAACTTAATACTATCTTTTGTCTACATGTTTAACAGAAATGTATCTTTAATGGATTGCCTGGATATTTCTTGCTAAAAAGATTATGCTCTACAAGAATTACTAAAGGGGGCCTCCCTGGTAGCGCAATGGGTTAAGACGCAACCTATGAAGCTAGCCGCAGCCGCTGCAGCACGAGTTTGATCCCCCGCCAGCCAGGAAGCAACCCACATGGTGCGGCAGACCTCTCCTGACTCGCCCGCTGCTCCCCTCAGCAGTGTATTTCAGTAGATCTGCCTGTTCTGCTCCCCACTCTGTCTCTGGTGAATCCTCTCACCCCACTCCCACACCTCTGGCCTATACCCCAGCTCTTATACGCATAAATAAATAAATCTTCATAATAATATAAAAAAAGAATTACTAAAGGGAGTTCTCTAGGCTGAATAAAAGGACAGAAGACAGTAATTAATCCAACTGAGTCAATACAGGACACAGTAAATGTAAATACTCAGGTCAATATAAAAGACAGTATCCAAGTGTTTTATATTTGTGACTCTTCACCTCCATAAGTAGCACTTAGGTTATTTAGTAATTTATTTAATAATTTCAGATGTGCTTATGGGCAAACATTGTACGACGATGTGATTTGAAATAGCACAAAGGAATCAAGAGGGAATGGAGCTTTCTAGTAGCAAACTTTCTATGAAATATTGAAATTAAGATATTAATCCAAACTAGACTGTTAATTAATATGTTAACAACAATCCTTGGAGCAACCATTAAGAAAATAATTTTAAAAAAATAAAGGAAAAACAATGACAGGAAATTAAAATGGTATACTAGCAAACACCTACCTAACAGAAAAGACAATAAGAGTAATAAAAGACATAAAACACATATTAAACAGCAAAAGAGAAGTCATAAATCCTATCTTATTGGTAATTCACTAACTATAAATGGATCAAATCACCCAAACAAAAACGGAGACTAGCAGAATGGACTAAGAATGCTCCAGCTACAGGCTGTCTGCCAGGGACACACTGTACATTCAAGTCACATGTGGGCTGATAATGAAGGACAGAAGTATGCAAACAGTAACCAAAGAGAGCTGGAGTGGCTACACACCTGAAAACAAACATTGTGATTAGAGAAAAGAACATCTTGGGTTATGTTGTGGTAAAAGATATATAATACAAAATTCACCATCTTAACCATGAGTGCACTGGGGCTAAGAATATTTGCATTCTGCAGAACACCTGTCCAGAGCTTTTCACTCTGCAAAACTGAAACTCTGCACCCATTAAGACAACGCCCCTTCTCATCTCTCCCCACGATTCCTCCTAACCACCATTCTACTTTCTGTTTCTATGAATTTGACTACTTTAGATAATTCATATAAGATATTCATTGAGTATCTCTCTCTGGGCGACTGGCTTATCTCATTTAGCATGTTCTCAAGGTTCAGCCACACTGTAGCATATAACGGAATTTCCTTTTTAAGGAATATACACTCCTAATAATAATAATAATGAACAATATCCCATGTTATGTGTAGACCATCTATTCATCCATTCAACTGTAGATAAACATCAGATTTGCTTCCATCTTAGTTATGATTAATAGTGCAACTGTGAACAAAAACAGGTTTGCAAATATTTCTATACCCTGCTTTTAATTCTTCTGAACATATATCAATAACAGAATTATTGGATTAGATGGTAGTTCTAGCTTTAATTTTTTTGAGAAACTTTCACACTGTTTTCCATAGTGCCTGCACATTTTATAATCCCATCATTAGTGTACAAGGATTCCAAGCTCTCCACATCCTCACCAGTACCTGCTATTTTGTACCCCAACCCCCATAGGAAACAATCCTAATGGCTGGGAGGTGACAGAAAGGGTATTTTATAATGAAATTTGGATCAACCCATCAAGATATAATAATAAACTCATATGTGGCCAAAAGTACATGAAGCCCCAAAATACACAAAGCAAAAACTAACAGAACTAAAGGGAGAAATAGATAACTCAACAATTCAGTATCAATAGTGCAATAGTGTACAGAACAACCAGCAGGTAAGCCAGGAAATAAAGGACTTGAATAACACCAGACCCAACTAGAACTAAAAGCTCAGTAAGAGATCAGTGACCCAACTATAGAGGAACATACATTCTCCTCAAGTGTACAGGGAACATTTTCCAGGATACATTGTAGTTCAGCCATCAAATAAGTCCCGATAAATTAAAAAATATGTAAACAACACAAGTATATCTTTTGATCAGGACAGAATGAAAATGAAAATCAATAACTAAAAAAGTCATAAATCTTGACCTTTGATTAGCTGATAGCTTCTTAGACCTGAAAGCAAAAGCATGAGCAATGACAGAACAGTAGATAAATCGAACTTCACCAAAATTAATAATTTTGTGCTGCAATGGACACCAGCAAGATCATGAAAAGACAACCCAAAGACTTGGAGAAACTATCTGGAAATGACCTATTTGATAAAGACTTGTATGAAGAATATATAAAGGACTCTTACAATGCAGTAATAAAATAAACCATTTAAAAGAGTGCAAAAGATCTGACATTTCTCCAAATAGCATATACCTGTTGCTAATAAACACATGCAAAGATGCTTAGCCTCATCAGTCATCAAGGAATTTAAATCCAAACCACAATGAGTGTCACACTTAGTAGGAGCTATCATAAAAAAGACAGGTAATAACAACTATTTGCAGGATGTGGAAAAATCAGTACCGTCACCCTTCACTGCTGGTGCCAAGAAAAATGTACAGGTGCTTTGGAAGACAGCCTGGCAGTTCTCCCAAAGGTTAACATAGTTACTTAGAAGCTGGCAATTCCTTTCTTGGTTATTACCCCAAAGAACTAAAAACATATATGCGAGCAAAACTGTACACAAATAATTAATAGAAACATTATTTGTAACAGTCAAAAGGTAGGAATAACCCTGATTCCGTCAACTGATCAATGGACAAAAACATACAGTAGACCAGACAAGAGAACATTCTTCACTGTGAAGAAGACGTGAACCCGGGCCACACCCACAATGTGACGTCCCCGAAGACCTACCAGCTAGACCAGCCAGCCACGCCAGGCCTCATCCCTCAGGACTCTGACCGTGTGATGTGTCAGAAGAGGCAAATCCAGTCAGAAAGCAGCTCTGCGGTCACTTAGGGCTGCGGGTGGGTATCTTTGGGGGGGAAAGGGGGGTGGATGAAAATGCTCTAAGATGGGCTGTGGTGATGGTTACACAGCTGCATCAAACTGAACTAAACCGTACACTTGGAGTGTTGGATTACTTCTCTATAAAGCTGCTGCATTAAAAAAGAAAGACCCACCAAGTCACACAATCTTCTCTGTAAGCCTCCTTAGTGGAATGGCTGCCAGACCAAGCGGGTGTGCCCCGCTGCGGAAACAGTAACACGAGGGGTACCTAAGGGCTTCCCCGTCATTCCCACGCTTCTATCGAGAAAAGAGAAAATAAGCTCTAAGAACAAAACTCCCACAAATATCATGTGTTCGGATAAGAGATTGTTTTAAAATCCAGAATCTACCACAGATAGGCCAAACTTCACCTTATCCGACAGACAAGGAAGGCTTACGAGTTGTCAGGAACTGTTTCTCATTTTTAAATTTTGCAGACTAAGCGACAGGCGTCTGCGTGTGCACGAACACATGTGAAAAGCCCTGTTATTAAAACCTAATTCATGGCACGACATTTTGGTGTGAGGTTGTGTTTTTACCATGCATAGGTGAATCTTCATCAGCAAACAGATACGGTTCTATTTCTTTCAAGGACCTTCTTCCTCCAAGTCGGGCAAGGAGCTGGAAGAGGAATAATACAGCAATCATACACATATCCGCCGGCAGACATTTCAGGCAACTCAGATGTGTTCCAGGAACTGAACAGAGCCGGGAACATACAGCTGTGGCAGTTCTGTCTCAACGAAGGTTAAAAAAATTACAATAAAGCATTGCGGATGCTATCATAGAAATACACATGGGGTGTTGTAAAGACACTCAAAAAGAGGGTCAGGGCCTCCCCGGTGGCGCAAGTGCTGTGAAGCTGCCCGCAGCCTCCGCAACACAGGTTCGATCCTGATGACCGGGGAGAAACCCACATGGCACAGCAGACCTCTCCTGTCTCCCCGCTGCTCCCCTCAGCAGAGTGTTTCAGTCAGTCTGCCTGTTCTGTTCCCCACTCTGTCTCTGGTGAATCCTCTCACCCTCCCGTATCTCTGACCTGTACCCCGGTTCTTGTATGCATGAATAAATAAACCTTTAAAAAGGGGGGAAAAAGAGCAGTCAACTCTAATGTGAAAAGCAGGGACCTTTAATTCCAAAGAAGAGGGTGGCTCGAGGGCTCGAGGGCTGCCAGGTACCTGCAGACCACAATGGTGATGCAACGCTTGCTTCGCCTGCGAAGCCCTTCCCCATGTCCTCAGTGAAGTGCCCCAAGGCCTAGACCACTGAACAAATGAAACTCTACACACTCCTCGAGCCCAGCTCCCGCCACGAGACCGTTCTACTCAGGAGCATTACTTCCGGCCTGCCTCCCTTACATGGATGCAAAAGCGCAAAAGGACGGGGGTCTACCTTAGCTCACCGCCGATCCCAAAATGCTCTCTGCTCGGCAGGGACTTGGCTGCCGTTAAGCTGAAGCTAAACAGGGCATGACAGGCAGAACTGAGGGGAAGGGTAGAAAGAGCCTCCGGCCTCAGGCTGTCATGCCTGGACAGTCTACCAGACTTGCCCTCCACCACCGCTGTGGCCATTCTCCTGCTCTCTTCAGAGCTGCTGACATCCACTGCCGGCGTCTGCTCTGGGGCAGGCCTTCTGGGCCTGTCAGGTACAGTAACGGCAACGGCTGTTGTAAACGTCATCCAGCTACGGGAGAGCTCGTGCTGGAGCAGGAAGGAGAGTTTAAAGCTCATGCTCAGCAGAATGAAGGACACGAAGGCCGCTCTGTGCCCGCTGGGCTCGTCCCCGCCGAGCTCGGGGGAGCCGCGCGTCTGCAGATGGAGCCCAGCAGCGAGGGCGCGACCGAGTCGTGCAAAAGGCTACCCCGGAAGCCGGGGCAGGCCTGGACACACACCCTCAAAGGGATGCCACTACTGACACATGTTAGAAGCTCCCTGCGGGCAGACGGCGCGGTTACAGCGCAGGGGGAGGCGCGCGCTGGACACGCAGGAAGGCAGAGTTGCTGTGAATATGTGCCACAGCGCGAAATGCGGCCCTTATCGTGGTAGTCCCCCGGGTTACAGGCCTAACTCTTTCTCACGTCTGAAATCTGCCTGCTCTGCCACTGCGGCAAGGGTCTAGCTCTCAATAAAGCTTTCGTCTCAGTTATGTGGAAACAACCACTACCACCCACGACCACGCCGTTACAAGCCGTGCCTCTGAGGGGATTCCCCGAAGGGCTGCTGCTTTTATAGTTAATGTTTTTAAAGTAAATCATCCCATGCAAAGAAAAATATATAAAAAGTCAAGCAGAAATTACTACGCATATCTGACCGCTTAAACATGAATTTCTAGCAGACTTTGCAAGGACTGAGTTTTAAGCTTATGACATTATAAATTGGTAACTCCACTAAATGCACTCGAGACTTCATCAGCCAGTGACATCAGACTGTGCTTCAGAATGTCATTTAGACAGAAAATCAACTACATGCAAAATCCCAGAATCAAAAGGCAGGAGCCCAGTGTCCCCCTCCTGGGCGGGGCGCACTCTGCCAGAGAAGCACTTCCGGTGTCCCCCCCCGCACCCCCAGGGGAGGGAGGGATTTCCAGTGGCCAATCTGGAGGGAGGAACTGGACTTGTGCTACTCAGCCGGTCTCCAGACGGCCTGCTGGCAGGAGGCACACGCGGCTGTCTGCTGTTTTCATCAGGCCCCGCCTTAGAACGGGCCCCAGAGAGGCCTGAAGGGAGAAAACGCATTCAGGAGACACGTGACTCCTGCAGGCCGCAAGCCGCACTCGGCTGCCACCTGACGGGGCACCAGCTGAGGCGCAGAAGGCGGGTCCCAGGGCCCCAAGGAGCGGTGGGCAACAGCAGGCAGCTGCAAGGGTGTGGGGACGGGGCTGGGGACGGGATGTGATAGCTAGGAAGGGGCTTTGCATTTTGATTTCATTGTCTTGTGTCCAAATACCGATGCAAAGACTGTCAGGTAAGAATAAGACTAAAGGTGCAGAACACAGAGCAAAATGAGGTCAGGGTGGGAACAGCTACAGGGTGGACTCCTGCCCTTTCTGAGGAGTGCAGACGCTTACTGTATTCCACAGGAAGGCACGCACAAAGCAGCACCACACGAGGACTGGCAGTATATACTGGAGGGGAAAGCAGGACTTGCTGTATTGACAGTCACAGGAGCTTCAGAACAAAGGAACTTACTGGAGACAGAGAGGGATGTGACAGGATAAGAGGCTCAGCCCACCAGGAGACACCAGTGCCCTGCGGGGCCACGCCCCACACCTGATGCACCTAAGGCGGCCCAGAGCAGAAAGCAGCGCAACCAGGAGGGCCTTCAACACCCACTCCTCAGCCAGGACGGCGCCCCGGACAGAAGGGCGCCGGAGGCAAGGCAGAGCTGGCAGCGCAACCAGGGACTGGGTCCACACCTGGAGAACAGTCCTCCCAACGGCTGGTGGCCGGACATGCTTTTCGAGTGCCCGTGAACCCTCAAGGCAGATCACACTCGGGCCATGAGACAAACCTCAACACACGTAGAGCTGACACCCCCCCAGAGCACATTCCTGACTAGGAGCCAACCAGGAGCCAACCAGGAGTGGGGGAACGTCAGGAACAAGGCCAAATCTCTGGTTTCCCGGCGACACCTGGGGCAAGGTAGGAGCAGGGGAGGGCAGAGGAGGCAGCCCCGAAACTCACCCGCCAGTGTGAGCGTCTACTGGGCTAATGTTCCAGATGTGAGGCCGAAGGAGAAACCTCAACTGACAACACCCTGTTCCCTGAGCACAAAGAGGCGGTGGGGAGACAGCGCAGGCTGGAAATGCCTGGGCGGCAGAAAGGGAGACCCCCGAAAGGGATCAAGGCTGAGGAGGGAGCGCCTGGGTCCCTCCAGACTAAACGCTGAGGAGGACTAAGGGCTGAGAACGGGTGGATGAGGGGCAGCTCCTCCTCGTGTTGGTGCGTGAGCAGCACCTGAGCGAGGGGGTGATGCAGAGTCCCTGGGGACAGCAGCCAGGCAGCGTGGGCAGGAGGGGCGAGGCTCTGAGGTGGAAGCATACTTGGCACATGCAGGGAGCAGCACGGAAGACCGAGGCAGAAGGGGAAGGGACCAGGTCAGGGTGGGGCTGCGGCACTCCAGGTGGGTGGGGCCCAGAGCCCGCTCGGTGCGGGGAATGAGCTTCCACGCTGCACTATAAACGAGGCAGGGGCTTCTCGAATCCGGCCCAGCCTGGACACGACACATGAACTCTGCCCCGGGGAGGAAAGTGCAGACAGACGAGGAGTGGAGGGGTGACCGGGAGGAGGGGTGGCTGCCGGAAAGGTGGAAAGTGGCTGGATTCGGGGCTCGCAGGCAGGCGCTGCAGACAGAACTTGCCAGTGAATGGAATGTGGGCTGATATGAAAGGAGAGTGAAGGAGCATCCAGAGCGAGCCCAGGTTTGGCCTGAAGAGTGGAGCTGCTACCTGCCACGCGGGGAAGGCTGTGGCAGCCAGCAGGTGGGCTGTGGGTACAGAGGTGTGGCGGGAAACTTTGGGACACATTAAAGTTTCCCCCAATTTTTTTTTTTTAATTTTTTTTTAGAGGCATTTTTTTTTTAATTTATTTGTTTGTTTGTTTGTTTTGTTTATACAAGCACTGGGTACAGTCAGAAGCGCGGGAGGGTGAGAGAACCCACCAGAGCCAGAGCGGGGAGCAGAGCAGGCAGAAGGACCGAAGGACACTGCTGAGGGGAGCAGCGGGCGGCAGGAGAGGTCTGCGCACCATGGGGGACCCTCCTCTGGTGGCCGGGGAGCAGCCGGGGATCGAACTGGCACCGCAGAGGCCGCGGGCAGCTTCGCAGCCCAGCGCTCAACCGCTGTGCCACCGGGGAGGCCCCCAATTTTTTAATTTAAAAAAATGTCAAACCTACAGGGAAACGTAACATTTGGCCAAATGTGCTTTAGCTTTTTTCTTTGGTGAAAGCACTTCGCCTCAAATACTTTCCATACCTCCTGAGAAGTAAAGGACATCGGCGCAGGCGCACTGGAGCGCGGGCACCAACCAACTCCGCGCCGACACCCACGACAGCCCTTCCCCTCGTGTCCCCGGCCTGCTCCCCTGGGGCCAGGACGCAGTCGAGGAGGAGCTGCGGGACCCACGCAGCCTCCACCTGCCTTGTCAGTAACAGAACAGGTGTGGGGTCTGGGGTGAGGCTGGAATGGAGGACCGAGGTCTTCTACAGTGAGAGTGGACCAATTACCAGGGAACCTCCTTTTGAGGCCGGCAGTTACAAACTGAAAATGAAATCCGTCTACTTGTGATTTTCTCCAGTAATGTTCAGTTGAGGGGTAGAGACACAGCCCAAGCAGCCAGCTGGGTTAGCTATGGCCGGGAAAGCAGGTCGGAGGCTGAGCAAGGCAGAGAAGTGGACGTATTAGCAAGGCAGCACCGTGAGGCTTCTGGGGAGAAGCAGCCAGCACTGTGACCACGCAAAGCCAAGCCATTTAATAACCCTCAGTCTCATGTAACACTTGCTTCTGCTAGAAAGGCCACCTTGTACTTTTTCCCTAGGGAAAGAAAACCTGCCGTGATCAACACAAAGTACTGACCAAGTGCTTGCCACGCGGAGAACACCGTGCTCAGTGAAAGGGGACAAAGAACCCAGGCCCAGGGGTGGGGGCTACAAGGGACCCCAGGAAGCCCATCCTCCATCCTCGCTGTGGTTCCTGTTTCTGAGCTCACAAAGCTGGTCCTTGGGGGAGCCAAGAGCCGGACAAGAGCTTGGAACTCCCAGTCTAGCTTCCTCCACCTCAGCTTCCAGAATGACATTAGAAAATCTCTCAAAGAACGTAGGGGGAAAAAAATGACCTTGGGACCTGTTTATAGGAATGGGGAAATGTCCTCCTTATTTCAGCACTAGCAGAATTTCCTATCATGAGATGTTATTATTTTAATAAGTAGGATAAATTAAAGAAAAACATTATGTTGCGTCTGGCAACTCAGAGTGGGCACTTCCAACTTTTTCCCATCGATTATTTTTATTTTTTTATGCATACAAGAACTGGGGTACAGGCTAGAGGTGTGGGGGTGAGAGGACTCACCAGAGACAGAGCGGGGAGCAGAACAGGCAGACTGACTGAAAAACACAGATGAGGGGAGCAGTGGGGAGACAGGAGAGGTCTGCTGAGCCATGTGGGTCACCTCCCTGGCTGGGGAATGGAACTCAGGGCACAGTGGCTGGTGACAGCTTGATAGCGTGAGACTTTAACCCCTGGAGGGAGACCCTCCATCGATTATTTTTAAATTCAAGTCAAATTAGCCTTTCGAGAATGTGTACAACCCACCAATTATCTAACTGTGCCATGGAGCTACCTGGTGGATGACACTAAACATGGGCCAAATCACTGCGACTCCAACCGGCTGAGAAGGAAAGACTGGACACGTGGCTCGTGTGCAGAGGCAAGCGTGGGGGGCTGGGGGCTTCAAAGGCCTCCTCCGCACAAAGCCCCCAGGAGAATCCATGAAGCAAACTAAGGTGCAGAGGAAGAAACTGCTTCCAAACCACTGCAGCGCTGGCCAGAGAGCGCCCAAAGCACTTAAGGGAAGAGGCTCGCTCGGCTGCTTCTGCCAACAAGGAGAAAGGATGAAAGGGCATGGTCGGCTCCCAGTTCTTCCCCTTCACCCCACTCTCCACAGCAACACAAGCTAAGCCATCCGGCTGAGGCTCGCCAGGCAGATGGGGCAGGCACAGGGGATGGTGGTGAATCCTTGGCTCAGTGATCTGACCGTGTGGGCTCTCATTTGGGGGATGCTAAGCTTATGCTGACGTGGGAGTCATAGGAGTTCAACCTGCGTTCTGAATGATGTCCGAGTGTTATTCCACTGAAATGCAGTTGTCGTCACACTCACAGGAGCAGGGGCTAGCGGACTGCGGCCAGGGGCCAAATCCAAGTGTAAAAACAAGGGCCGCTGGAACACGGGAAGGCACCTGCTTGCTCGCCTGTGGCTGCAGCAGAGTCTGACAGACACCGCGAGGCCTGCACGGCCTAGAGATGTACTGCCTGGCCCCCCGGAAAAAGCCTGCTGGCCATCCTGGGGGGCCGCTCCGGCCTCTGAGACGGCCTAGGTAACAGGAACGGGCAGGACGGGGTGTCCGGAGTCCTGTGTGCGCAGGTGGACTCGATCGTGGACTGGCGAGTCCTGTGCTGGCAGCTTGGCCCCCACACCGCCCATGGGGCGCCACGACGGACACCAGCCTCAGATCCTGCCTCGAGATTATCCCACAATCTCCTGCAGGGAGGAGGCCAGGGGCTCCGGCCGGCGGCTGCTCCCCGCCTCCCTGCCCGGCGGACCTGCCCCTCAAACGTCTCCTCCCTGCTCCCCCTCCCTCTGCCCGGCGCTCGGGGCGGCGGTGACTGGGGGGCCCCGCAGGAGCAGAGTCCGCTCAACCCAGAGGCGGCGGGGCGCCGGGACCGGCTGCTCGCCCGCGCGGCCCGAGGTCACCTCAGGAAGGAAACGAAAAGGGGGAAATAAGCAGCACACCAGGTTGTTCTTTTCCCAAACCCCACTTCAGTCGGGGGGCGCCCTCCTCCCGCCCAGCCCGCGGGGAGCCCGGGGCGAGGGGGCGGCGGGCGCCGGGGTCGCGGCTCCGGGGAGCTCCAGGCCGGGCACGACCGGGACGGGGGCACCGCAGCCGGGCGCGGGGGGCGGCGGGGCGCGGGGGGCGCGGCGGGGCGCGGGGGGCGGCGCCCAGGCCCTGTCCGAGTGCATTTCAACAACTGCATTTCAGTGGAATAACACTCGGACAGCGGGGAGCCCCGGCCCTGCCCACAGACAGCGCCCCGCGGACCGCCGGCCCCGCGACCCCCCAGCTCCTGGACTCTCAGTCCGCGAGCCGGCCCCGAGGAGCCCGGCCCTGGGGACCCCGGGTCGCGCAGTCGCGGTCGGGGAACCCTGCGGCTGGCACCCCGCGCCCCGCGCCCCCCAACACCGCCAAGCCCCGGCGCGCGAACTCGCGGCCCGCGAACCCCGACTCGAGCAGCCCCGCCCCGCCCGCGGCGGCCGCGCCTCGAGCCCCGGCTCCAGCGCGCGGCCCTCACCTCCGTGCCGGACTCCGCGCGGTGCGAGTCACTGCACATCGCGCTCCCGCGCCGCCGCGCGCCTCGACTTTCCCGCCACCGGCGCCATTCGCCGCCCCGGCGTGCGCACGCGCAGTGCGCGCCCCGCCCCGGCCGGCCCCGGCGGCGGGCATGCGCAGTGGGGCTGCGGCGCCCCTCGGTGACGTCGGGCGCCGTCTCCTAGGAGACCGCGGGCGCGCGGCGCTTTCCTCCGCGCCACTTCCGGCTCTTCTCCCGGGAAGCCGGGCGCGCGCGCCGTTCCCCTAGCTGGCCCCGAACGTTCACTCAGCGGACGGCCTGTCTGCCGGTTCTCGGGTGGAAGCCCCTGCCCGTGCGGCCGTTGCTGCTCCACACCGAAAAAAAGAAAGTTATGCGCTGAACGGAAGAGAACGTTGAGCAGCTCCGAGCCCGCGGGCGCCCGGCGGCGTTTGGGGCGTCGACGCCCCGCCCTCGCCCGCAAACGGTGGGCCGCGGGCAGGCCGCCCGCAGAGAACGCGGGGCGCTCTGGCGGGGCCCCCCACGCCCCCTGCGGCGTCCCTGGAGCGATTATTTTTTTGAAAACTCACTTTCCAACAGCTGTGTCTTTACTTGGCAAAATGGGGAGGCTGGGGCTCCCTTGTCCTTCTCCTTGCGCTGGCAGCTGTGAAATGAAGAGATAATGAGCCGGTTCCTCGGCGCCGCCCGGGGTGCTTTAGTCTCACATCTGCTCCTCAGTCCCGAGAGGTGCTGCTCGCCCATTTTGCAGGTGAGGGAACTGAGGCCCGGGTTGGGCCCACATGACCTTATTGACCCAACTGCAGTGTGTTGACACATTCATGGAAATAGGAAGCAGAGGCCGTGAAGACAGACAGTCCTTCAAAGAAACCTGACTGCCAAGGACGAGTTAGTATGTAGAGGTGTGTGGGACTGAGGAAGTCCTATAAGCCGGCAAAGCCTGGGGCGTGCGTAAATGCTGGTGGGAAAGAGCTGGAGAGAGGATACTCGGTGGATCAGAACCTGAAGAGAAAGTGTGACCAGAAGACCGGAGTTTGGGCCACTTGTCACCACCCAATGCCAATGAAGCAGAGACGGGAATTGAACCTTTAAAGTGTGCTTTAATCAGACATCTGGTAATATGGAAAATGGGGGTTAACACCCTAAAGAAACTGCCTTAACCTTTCATTTCTAGCTGCCTTTTTGTAGTGAGTTGAACAAAGAGTTCAGCAGTGAGCAGGCCTTCACTGCTGCCAGGAGATTGTGATGTCCCGCCCCCAAGCTCCTTATCGCCCTCCTGGACACCTGGCCTCAGGCTGGTCCCAGCGTGCCGAGGCCGGTCTTCAGATAGCACTGGCGCCCCACACTCCTCCAGATGTGTCCTTGGGCTGGAATATTAACTCAGAGCAGAGAGCCCATAAACAGTATGTGTGTGCAGAGTCCCTACTACACCGGTTTAGTGTCTCACCTGCTCTCCTCACCCACCCTAGTCCCTAGCACAAGGAGGGAATCATAAGAATCTACTTAGGAGGGATGGTGGGGTGTCTGCATTGTGAGCAGAGTGGAGGAGTCTGGTGTGGTACAGAGGTGCATAAATGTGCGGGTGGGGGAAGTTCCATTATGAGGGCTTGTGTTTTTCCCCCAAAGTAGTAAGCAATGTGGTAGAGGCCTCCCTGGTGGTGCAAGGGGTTAAAACGCAGCACTATGAGCTACCCACAGTCACTGCAGCACAAGTTTGACCCCCAGCCAGGGAGCTACCCACATGGCGCAGCAGACCTCTCCTGACTTGCCCGCTGCTCCCCTCCACGGTGGATTACAGTCCATCTGCCTGTTCTGCTCCCCACCCTGTCTCTGGTGAATTCTCTCACCACCCACACCGCTGGCCTGTACCCCAGTTCTTGTATGCATAAGTAAATAAATCTTTAAAAAAAATTCTCTGATCACACTTAATATGCAACATATATTAGTACTGTTCTTTCATAGCACACAGCTTATCTCCCTGACTTATGATTTTCTTGAATTCCAACATGAATCACCATGGATTTTGATGTCAGGAACTCCTAGAATTTTAAATCTTATTAAACGTCCGTTACTACCAGGATACAAGCTGCTCTGGTGTTGTGACTGATGGCTAAATGGAACACTACTTCAAACAGCCAGCACCACCCTCCAGTCCTTGTTAGAGCATCACTTAACTTCATACCAGAGATGGTAAATGCCCTGTGTCTCCTGCCCACCAGGCCGACACTCACCAGGCCCAGGAGAGAGATGATGTTGTCTGTGGTCATTCAGGTGGTCCTAGAAAGAGTGTGAGATTGTCTCTCCCCAGGGAAATAGCACAGAAATATGACATGGACAAAAGTTGTTATTGCAACTCTTGTCAAGGAGCATACCCCATGGGTTTGGTTAGAAAACACCCCTGGAAAGAGGATGACAGTCCCAGAGAAGAAGGGTGAGCGCCACAGTGGACAGCGTGCCCTGTGGGGGGTTGGTGGGCTGGGAATGAGGGCAAGGGAGTCGTCACCACCAACACGCCACTCCTCTGCCTTTTCCACCCACTCCTGCACATAGAAGCAGGATTCTGGGTCTAGAAGTGGAGGAACTTTTTAAATGTATCCTTCAGAAGATGTGCCTGTTATTTGCTCTTGCAGGTCAGTTCTCAAATGTTGAGCTCATTCTGGTGGGAATGCTGACGATGATGATTTGAGCTAATAGAACACTTTTTGACCTGTGGTCCTGGATTTCCTGTTTTTTGTTTTTATTTTTTAATTTTTATTTATTTTAAAAAGATTTATTTATTTATGCGTACAAGAACTGGGGTACAGGCCAGAGGTGCAGGGGTGTGTGTGTGAGAGAGAAAGAGAGAGAGAGAGGATTCCCCAGAGACAGAGCGGGGAGAAGAACAGGCAGACTGACTGAAATACACTGCTGAGGGGAGCAGCGGGGAGACAGGAGGGGTCTGCTGTGCCCTATGGGTAGCTCCCTGGCCGGTGACCAGACTCAGCTGGGAAGCTGCGGATAGCTTCATGGAGCTGTGCTTAACCCTTTGTGCCACCAGGGAGGCCCTGGTTTTGTTTTGGTTTTTTTTTAAATGAAATCTATTTTTTTTTTTTAAATTCTATAAGCAGAACCTCCCTGGTGGCATAGAGGTTAAGTTTCAGCGCTCTCATCTCAAGGGCCTGAGTTTGATCCCCACCCAGGAAGCTGACCCACAGGGTGCAGCAGACCTCTCCTGTGTCCCGGCTGCTCCCCTCAGCAGTGGATTTCAGTAGATCCGCCTGTTCTGCTCCCCACTCTGCTTCTGGTGAATCTTCTCACCCCCCCTACCTCTGGCCTACACCCCAGTTCTTGTATGCATAAATAAATCTTTACAAAAAAACTATAAACTATATATAAGACATTTGTATAGTGAACAGCCAGGGGAGGGAGCAAAGTCATGCTGACTGCCCTTCCCAAAGCTGGAGTCCCTCTCCTCACTGACCCCACATAACCCACATTCTCTTGTCCCATGGCCCTGCAGTCACTGGGGCTCTGGCATCTGGCTGCTGCAGTTGCTATGAGGAATAAATTCCGTCTTCTGTGACTGGGGTGCTTCTGTCTCCTATCAGCACCCATAAACTTTGTGGGTCAACTCATTAGCTTACAGAAAGAATAAAATCTCAGTGAGCAAAGCGGCACAGAGAAGCTGGCACGTCATCACAATGGTCATCATTGCAGTGTGTGGTGCAGGGCATGCAGGGCAGGCGCAATGGATTAACTTGCCTTTCATTCTGACCTAAAGACATCTTCTGCCTTGTTAAACCTCTGTGATGGAGTATTGGACCTAATGTTTGGGAACTAGAGGAACTAGAATTCAAGACTTGGAAACAGTGATCCTTATTTTGGGATTGTAGACGGTAGCACCAACCATTAAGATCAAGGGGTGAATTAGTTTTCTGAGATGAAGAAAGCTTCATGGAAAGATATTTTTCTTGCATCTATTCTTTTAAAAACCTCGAGAATAACATGTGTTTGTGAAATATTTTTGTAGTTAATACTGAACTTGCTCATTGCATAAATTGAGTTTTTGCCTGCAAGTCACAGAAACACCCAGTATCTACTGATTTAAATAATAAATGGGATTTATTGGGTCACGCAGCTGGAAGTCCAGAGACAAGACAGGCTTCAAGGTCAGCTCAATTAAGAGGCTCCTTCAGGCAGACAAGTGCCCACTTTCTCCTTTCCATTGTCAGATGCATGTGCTTTACCTTGGGGTGCTGTGCCCACACCTGAGACATTCACACCGTCAGAGAATCAGATGACGCCAGTTAGGTGAGGTCCAGCCCGCGCTTCACCCTGAGATCCAGAGGACAGGTGGATTCTTTCAAAGTACACAGCTCTGTGAAGGGGGAAGAGTGACAAGAGGATGTATAGGCACTGGAGCACGTGCAGAGGGGCCAGGGCGAGGCTTCCCTTCACTGACTATCGACCTGTAGTTCTACTAGGCGGACTCTGGCACACGCCTCTAGGACACTTGTTCTGACCCATATTTTTCCTTTTTTTAAAAAAAAAGATTTATTTATGCATACAAGAACTGGGGTGCAGGCTAGTAGTGCAGAGAGGTGAGAGACCGAGTGGGGAGCAGAACAGGTGGATCCACTGAAATCCACGGCTGAGGGGAACAGCAAGGAGACAGGAGAGGTCTGCTGTGCCCTGTGGGTCAGCTTCCTGGCCGGGGAGCAAACTCAAGCCTTCATGGTGGCACTGAGACTTTAACCCCTTGGCCACCAGGGAGGCCCCTAGAGCCCATTTCTGGGTGAGGATGCTGAGACCCAGGAAGCCTTGGCCCGGGTCTGTTCCAGCTGGGAGGAAGCCAGGTCTGCCTGACTGTAACACAGTACGTTGCTTCCAGAAGATTCAAAGGATCTAAGGCCTTTTACAACTCTCTGATTCTGTAGAAGAAGGAAGAGGGTGGGTGGAGGGGAAATTGGCCATCTGCCAAGCACTAATCAGTCCTAACCTAAAGGAACATTCTCTGTTCCTGTGGGAATTAAACAGTGGCTACATGAGTATCCCATTCCCTGACCCTGAAGTCATTCTCACTCCAACCTTGTCA